TTTGGAGTTAGTAACACCGACCCATCGTCAGGCAAAGTGGACAGAGGAAAAAGGCTAATGGTCTGACTGTTACAGTTGCCGCGACAGAACAGACAGCAACTGATAGACAGTTGATGTGTGGGCATGAACACTGAATGAGCGAAAATTTTGGAGGGAGGGTGAACTGTTGAGTCTCCCTTTTTTATATCACCTCGGAATGCACACTACATCAGTTATTCAACATATATGGGGTATATATACCATTATGCATGTAGTCACGAGTGGGTGCACATCAGTCTATTGGTTTCCCGAAACAAACAAGCTCCTGAAAAGTGGCAGAGGTCACGAACAGGCAACCGCTTTTCGGGCCGAAGTCGGGCAAGCCATGACAGCAGAGTGGGGGTAGATTGATGCAGTACACTTATTCTGTTCCTGAGCTTCAGATCATGTAGCATCTTTTTTAAGGCAATACCCCTCTTCTTCTTCGTCCCTCTTGAACCCAGATTGTAGATATTTGACATTCGCAACAGCAATGCTTTATGGTAGATATCCACTTAGTGGTGTATTCAGTGTCTGGCGATGACCTTTGTTTTATGGCAGAACCTGAATTTTTGGGCATTTGATGACTGTCATAGGCTGATGGTTTCCCATTTATGACGGGACCGAATCTGATCGCGATCAAAGAACACTATGATGAGTGATGCAAAAGGGAAGATTTGGTGCCATAGTGAGATGTGCGTGAAAACTGAGACAGATTATATGCCTAGGTACTAGTTAAAGTCTGAGACACCTATAGTAAATGTGCTAACTCATGAAATGTCAACCAAAATTTCGAAATGCGTTTTCGTTTCGAAAAGATAAATCCAGTAGTGTTGTAAAACTAATCATGATGCAGCATAAATCTATAATGATCCAGTTATCTCAGGGTGTCGGCTTTCGAAAGAATTTATTTTCGGCTGCATGCAAGATCTATACTCTGCAAAAAATGACTACTTATGTAGTATGCAATTTTCTCATTGATTTTCGTTGTCCTTGAAAATTCAATTATATTTCATGGAAAACATGCATAAAAATATTCATTCTTTTACTTATTCGATGGAAAATCACGTCTTCTTCCAATTTCATACTCAAAAGAGGAGTATAATTCGGTTTTAAAAAACTTCTCCAATTCTCGAATAATTTTGAACCCGATCTGCTGTTACACTTGCATTCAGGTTTTCAAAACTACAAGCTGTATATTTTCCGTGTACGGAAAACCATGCATTTCTCTACGGTGATAAGAGGAGACCATATGAGGTTCATAAAATTAAACAGTGGATTTGATCCATATTGTTAACTTTACAAGCCACATTCGTAAATGCAGATACATGACGTTTCATGAACGGCCATTTAAAGGTATTAAAAAATCTCACAATTAGAAACTTTTTTAAAACCGAATTATACTCTTCTTTTGAGTATGAAATTGGAAGAGGACGTGATTTTTCACCGAATAAGTAAAAGAATGAATATTTTTATGCGTGTTTTCCATGAAATATCATTGAATTTTCAAGGGCACCGAAAATCAATGAGAAAATTGCATGCTACTTAAATAGTCATTTTTTGCAGAGTATAGATCTTGCATGCAGCCGAGAAAAGTTCTTTCGAAAGCCGACACCCTGAGGTAACTGGATCATTTTAGATTTATACTGCTTCGTGATTAGTTTTACAACACTGCTTAATTTATCTTTTCGAAACGAGAACGCATTTCGAAATTTTGGTTGACATTTCATGAGCTAGCACATCTACTGTATATGGGGAATATATACCACTATGCATGTGGTCACGAATGGTTGCACATCAGTCTATTAGTTTCCCGCAACAGAAATCTCCTTAAAAGTGGCAGAGGTCACGAACAGGCAACCGCTTTTCGGGCCGAAGTCGGGCAAGCCATGACAGCAGAGTGGGACAGCGACAGAGATTGGGGGTAGATTGATGCAGTACACTTATTCTGTGCCTGAGCTTCAGATCATGCAGCGTCCTATTTCAGACAAGCCCCCTCTTACTCTTCGTCCCTCTGGGATCCAAATTGTAGATATTTGAAATTCGCCACAGCAATGCTTTATGGTAAATATCCACCTAGTGGTGCATTCATTGTCTGGCAATGATCTTTGTTTTATAGTAGGGCCTGAATTTTTGGGCATTTGAAGACTGTCATAGGCTGATGGTTTCGCATTTATGACGGGACCGAATCTGATCGCGATCAAAGAACACTATGATGAGATGTGCGTGAAAACTGAGACGGATTATATGCCTAGGTAATAGCTATAGCCCGAGACACGTAAGTCTCCTGTCCCCCTGCTTCTGTATGCGCATCGGTAGAAGGTACACAGTTAACGGCCGATAGTTTGTGGATTGTGTGATACGGGAGTGGTGATTGTGGTAGGGGGGGGGGTAGTCGGGCAGCACGCCGGACCGTAAGCCGACGGGATGCAGGAAAAGACAAAAGACGGCCGGAGGCAAAAACGATACTTTCGAATAAAATGGTGAATGTATGCAGATACGGTATCCAGCTGAGCCTTTCCTGGCGTTCCATCTTGAAAGAGTGCCTAGCTATCGAACATCTGAATCTGGCAGACGCTTCGGCTATTTCTCAATTCATGCTCAGTCGATCTTGGCCTTTGGTTTTTTCGCTTCTTGGTACAACTGTCGGTCATCGATACTTAACTAGCTTTCGTAAGTACATACACCAGCATGCGATTCACAGTCTACAGACAGCTAACTGAGGTCCTTCACCCTACCGTTATCGTTGTGTGAAGTCACAGTGGGGCGTCAGCCCCTTAGAGTCTCCCCCAACGCTTTCTGCTTGGTCTTTGCAGTTAATCAGATGAAATTGATTGTCGTCGCCACATGCCTTCATTAAGGCACCGTGACTGGCCTCGAATTGTTCTGTTTCACACATTCAGCTCTAGGTCCTTCCACTAATCATTTGCGATATTACTGGCTTGGCGTCCGGATGAGAAGTTCGCATGACAGAAACAACACAGTGAACGCCGGGGGTCTACTGAGGGGTTGATCCCACTACATTTGCATAATGGTGGAACAGCAAAAATGTCGACCAAATACGGGCTTTTCGTTAGCAAATCTGTCGGGAGTGCGCCTGAGCTCGCCTCCCGTCGTCGCGACTGTGTTTAGTTATTCTAGAAAGGCGAGCGAGGGAAAACTACTGTCATAGACTCTGTGCAAATTTGTCCCGCTATAAACTTTTTGGTCAGATGTGGTTATGTAACCGCACCTGAGGTAAACAAACCATAGCCACCTGTATTACGGGGCCGGTGATAAGAGGGGTTTTTACAGGTGTGGCTGGGAAACGTACAGACGACGAGGTCAGGTAGTTGTATACAAAAGAAAAGCCCTTGGGAATGCGCGGTTGTACTTTAAGTGATTGGTGTGTGTTGGTACACTGGCCCCTAAACCTAACCCTGGTTCCAACCCTGACCCTAACTCCTAACCCCAGCCCCAAACCCTAACCCTAAAACACCCAACAAGAAAGTTTGAAGGAGACGACAGACCGAAAGCCAAAAAGGACCAGCGGCATTGAATCAAAAAAGGTAGACACGACAATAAAGAAACAAGGCCTCCATCAGAACACGCACTACAACGCACATCAGCACCATGCCAATGTAATCACACCAACCCAAAATAATTAGCTAGGTGAACAGTATTATGTCCATCAGGTGCGGCTACATAACCACTTTTTGCCAATTTTTTTGCGCGAAAGTCACTGGTGCTACTTCCAATCTATGGGGCACCGATGGACGTTCGAACACTCATGTTGGAAGGATGGCGGAACTACGTCAACAGCGGATAGAACAGAACACAACTGGGGTAGATCGCAGTTGGTAGCCAGGACCCTTATTACAGATGGCGGGGTTTTGTTTACTGGGACTATTTTGTGGGGCTCCATACCCACATCTGACCCATTTGGCTTCCTTTTTACGTTTGAGGTTAGGATTAGGGTACCGGTTAATGGTTAGTGTTATGCCTTTAGGCTTAGGTTTTCGGGTTACGGTTAGGGTTTGAGCGTACGAATAGGTTTCAGTATTACAGTTAGGTTTTTCAGTTACGACTATGTCTAAAGGCTACGGTTACGTTTACGATTTCGGTTAGAGTTAGGGTTGCCGTTAGGGTTAACGGTTAACGTCTAAGGCAGAGGTTAGGGATAGGGTTAGGGTCAAGGTTAGGATTAGAGTTAAGGTCAACGTCCGCTTCCCCATTCCTGGCTACCAACTGCGATCGAGCCCTTATACGTATGAAGACAGTGGCTTTGTGCTCCATAATGCTGTCATCATCAGTCCATTGCATTCCACTAACTAGGAACTTGGCTGGACTTTGAAGTACCAGTTAACAGCCTGACTACTTCATCTACTATTGTTACTGCTGCCATTACTACTACTACTACTACTACTACTATTACTATTACTACTACTACTACTACTACTACTACTACTACTACTACTACTACTACTACTACTACTACTACATCTACTACTTTCCCAAACACCGCCTTATAAGGTTGTGGCCCACGTATATCAGCCTATGTTGGAGGGTTTCTTAGGAACCAATCTTAGCCCCTGTGGCCATTCTCTTTATGATTAGGACTGGAATTCCAGGAGTAGAGCACTCTCTCATCCAAAGAAAGAACTCATACTGTATCTTTATTAAGACCTGAATAAGCTTTATAAACGCAGATATTACTGTACTGTTTTATTCCAGTGTAGGACGCATCAATAGCGCCGTCTGTACAATAAGGGATCGTCAGCGCTTTTTGTGGTACCTGGTCACCCTGAAAGAGGACATGCAAGCAATGGAAGAGTTTCACAAGGGTGACGTCTAGTCTGAGTGCCCAGTAGTACACAACAGCAGGAAAGGACTGAGAATGGTGGAATCTAAGGTCGGGGAATGCTAACGTGTCCGACCCTTGTGCGTGCTTTGTGGTAGGAATGGATGCAGTTTCCGGATTGGTGGGTGGCGGAGTATAGGGGTCAGACAATGAGCCCCGTATCGACAGGGGTGAAGGCCTGAGCCATAGGGTAGCAGAAGGTTCCGCCCTCAGAGGACATGTCGCCATGCGGAGAGGGGTCTGCGAGGAAGGCCTGAAGTAACATGCCCTGTTCGGACGAGGGACGAAAAATGTTGGTCGGCGTGCAGGTGTATATAGACCTCTGGCAGTGAACCTGTTCGTTCTGAGGAGGCTGAAGTGGGTGGTGGTGGTGGTGGTGGTGTTGGTGACAGTCCTGATTAGTCCGAGACCCCAGCCGAAGACTGGAAGCCATGTGACTCATAGAGGGGAGAGCTGCAGCTTCTAGCGTTTTGTAGGCCACTTCCTCCAAATTCACTGAGCGCTGTTCCTCCATCGTCTCATCCATGACGCCGGTGGGGGAAACGTTGGAAAGTGGCGGCCTCATAGGAGCTTCCGCCGTCGGGGCAGGAGTTTCGCTGGTCTCGAAGGCCAGCTGGTCCTCCTTAAGGCAGCCGAGACGCATACTCCCGCACCCACTATGAGCCTGGGCAGGTTGTAGGTAGTCATCGTGTTCTGTTCGCCCTGATACCTCAACCTGCCGCGTAGGGAATCCATAGTAGCTCGGAAAGGAGGACCCGTTGCTCATCACTGCTCCAGAACTGCCGCTACACGTGACAGAGACAGCAGCCTCAAAGGGGCTTGTAGTATCAACCGACTGACTGGCCCAGTCGCAGTAGGCCGGGTGCGTATCTCCGTTGCCCGCGGCCAGCATCACGGGAAAAGTGGGAGCTGGGAGGTTTGCTGTCCCGCAATCAGTGACAGACTGCTGCTGCTGCTGATGTAGAAGGGCAGTGGGATTCTCGAGGGCAAAGCGCAGTTCAGAACTGTCCTGTACGGCCAGCCTGCTCTTGACATGTGGGAACTTTGACGTATCATAGAGAGTAGTGTCCGCCGTGTGGCTGTGCGGGGGTTCAACGGAAGTAAACAGATCAACCGGGGTGGTGCTGGGCCGGGAGGAATCCGAATAGGCGTAATCAAAGCGGAGACAGGGTAGTGAGTCCATTCCAGTTGCTGAAATATAGGATAGTTGAGCGCTGCTCGGGGGGAATGCTCGGTGCTCGGGGAGACTTGAAGTGTTTCCCTCAAAGCAGGTTGTGGAAGCATGGGTAGCTAAGTCGAAGGGCGACGTAGAGTGCATATGACAGACTGTTTCAGGAAATCGAAAGTTCAGCGCCGTCCCTTCAACCGTATGTGAATTAAATACCTCGAAGTTACCAGCTTCCTCGCCAACTGTGGCGCCGTTAAGCCCATCAGAACCACTACCACAACCGTTAATGACACCTCCCCCAGCATTTGCTTGATGGCTAAACTGGTCACTGTCGTATTGCGAAAAACGATGAGAAGGACAAAAGTGCACCATTGTGTGCGGTAGCTCATCGAGTGGAAAGGGGTGTCCTTCTAGGGGGTAATAGTTGTAGGACTGAGGGGCAAACGAGAGGACCGTGGATGGGAAGGAGGGCATCTCCATGTCAGCTTCACTGATACCCGGTGGCGAGACTGAGGATGAGGGCAGTTTCGGAAACATGGGCTTAACTGTAACCTTCGGTAGCGTGGGACGGGTGTTTGAGGGCTTGCCAGAGGGAGAAGTATGATGCTGCTGTTGTTGCTGCTTCTGCTTCCGACGGGGACGGTACTTGTAATCGGGGTAATCCTCCATATGACGAGCCCTGAGTTTGCACGCCTCCTCCACGAAGGGCTGTTTCTCTACCTCAGAGAGGGCCTTCCACATGGAACCGAGACGTTTGCTGATCTCTGAGTTGTGCATTTTGGGATTTTCGAGGCCCATTTGGCGTCGCTGACTGCGTGACCACACCATGAAGGCATTCATGGGTCGCTTAACACGCTCCGACTTTACGTGAGTCAAGCCCCGGGACTCGGTCTTTTCCTGATTGTGTTTCGTTTCACCACTGACTGTCGACACGGCTGAGACCGTCATGGGTTTCTTATCAGGCTCGGAGCACTTTGATGTTTCCCTCCGTCGCTGTATCTGCAACGAGTAACTATTCGCACAGGAATTCTGAAAATAAGGAAAAGTGGAAGGTAAGCTATTATACTAGAAAGAATCTCGATGAAGTTTGCTTAAGGAGAGGATGCTGTCTACGGGGACTTGATTTGTTGGCCAGGTTTTTTTAGACGCATGCTAGAATTCGTAAATAGAAGTGGAAGCTTTAGCTAGCCCCGAGATTTACGTCTAAAAAGCTTTCCGATTCTTCCTGGAGATTGGGGGGTTGCGTAATATCTGGTATGAGCATAAATGTTCTTATTGAGAGGTAGTTGCGTCGCCTCTCTAAATTCTCGGGATTCCAAGCATTCGCTTTCAGTAATTGTCTGCGCCCAACAGAGTCGAATATTTGATAGGTGTTCATCCTATGAAAAGCGCAGCACTAGAACTGGGTACACATCCCCTCAATCCGACTTTGTGTTGCCAACTCACGATCTGTTTGACCAATGTAATGCAGGATGCATTCGCCACGATCATTTGGTGAAGCAGCGGTTGGATTATCCGCGGTACATAGGTCCGTTCGAAGGCCAAATTTTATTCTTCATCAAAAGGGGTCTTAAAATTATTACTAACGACTGTTTCGTGATTTTTGCGCTGATTCGAGGACATATTAGCGGCTGTAAGTTCACCGCAGAAGAAGAGAGGATCCTTTAATCTGCTTTTTACCGAATGGCCTTGACGATTTAAAAGCTGTGCATAGTGGCGTTTGGGCATTTTCTGGAAATGCAGCCTTATTGCATCGACAACTGAGGTATAGGCAGAAGTACATGCATGTATGGATTGACTAAGCTCTGAGGAATTTATGCACCGACCAGGAATTGCCATATCGTAATGAAGGCCTTATCAATATGTAAAAGGCAAAAGTACGAAGTAATCCCGAGAAGTTGAGGCAGGGGAAGCTTCTGTGTCAGGTCGTATCAAGTATTCTTAGCAAAAGTGGCATTGTTTATACCTGTAAAGTTTACGGCAAACTCATCCATACGATCTTTCACATGAACAACTCCATTTCCAATATGGTCGTACTGGAGAATGCAATGTGAGCCTTCCGTCGTATCAGTGGTGGCACGTCAGCAAACCGAGCTTAACCCAGATAACGTAGGCACAAATAGCCTTTACAGTGGTGATTTCGATCTTAAAACAACTAAGATGCAGTAATTTCATATCGAATTTGGAACTGGCTCCCACCCACGAAACAACTCCTCACATTTCCACGCTACAGTTCCTTTTGTATTCATACTTCCTAAGACGTGTCTTCACATCAGGACCACGCAGACAGTCGAAGCGCGTAAGTGTGGGGACAGGACGGAATAAGAGACGCTGCGGCAACTCTACTTCCAAAATATTACAACAGCATTCTGTGGGAGTTTCGAACGCGTCTGTTTTTTTTTACAGTCAGGAGTGCTCTGAAGTGTCGTGAGGATGAAATCTCCAGAGCCGACTTAACCGTCCCTTCCCTCTACATTGCACTAGTCCGCTGTCCGGACCAGCCACCCAACTGACGCTGGCGTTGGGCGCGAATGACTGGCGCAACATGAGGCCTGCGCCTAGGCGTGCCAATACACCCCTCATAGGTGGCGTTTGTTAGGGGATGCACGGATGCTGTGTGGCCCTGATGACGCATGCCTTGCATACTTACCGTCCGCTTTTTGATCCCAGCACCTGTTTTGGGGCAAACTTGTGGAGACCAGTTCATATACGACCAGTTGCCTCTATCCATTCCATGCTGTTACGCTTTTGAGCATTTGGGCCAATCTTTGCATGCTTTCAACATTGCAGGGAGAAGCAGCGGTGGAAGTCTTCGCGTCTCAGCATCAGAAATTAGATCGAAGCTGATGGTAAAACGGACCAGCTGAAACTCGCGCGCTTAGGATTCACTGAGGAGTGGTTTACGGACTCATAAAGTCCACAAAGTCTGCGAACTCAGTACTTTCCCCAGCATTTATTATCATGATGAAATCGAACCCCTCGGTAGGCTGCGAAGGTCATTGTCCTTTACACTCTGAAGGAGGCTCGATCCCGCTTCGACATTTCCGGCCAGTTTATAATCGCTGGTTTGTGAGTACTTGGGGGTACCTGTGCACCTAATACACCCGGAATGGGTTTTCAGTCAACTCGCTGCTTATCCATATTTCTAGTCAAGTCGCTCGTCTTTGCAGTTAGCACGTCAACCAGTGCTTACCTCCCCTGTGTGCATCCCATTTACCTCTCTAACGGACAGTATCGGCGTGCTCGTCAGCCACACTGGTCTCCCTCCGGCTCTTTCTTCTTCTTCTTCTTCTTCTTCTTCTTCTTCTTCCTCCTCCTCCTCCTCCTCCTCCTCATCCTCATCCTCATCCTCCTCCTCTCCCTCCCCCTCTTCCTTTTACTCTCCCTCTTCCTCTCCCCCCTTCTCATCCAGCCTTCTTCCTCAGTCACTTCGTTGAATAATCATTCCAGGAGCCTGGTGATGACTACGCACCCCCGTCCGGTGCCTCCGAGGTGCTGGCCTACTAGCCACTCAGTGACATTTCACAGCCATACACCCACAGGGATGACGCACGACTGCATGCAGGACCTTTACGGTTGTCCGTATAACGACCTCTCTCTTGACGAAGAAGGATGCACTTGGTCTGGTCGTTTGTTTTCTTACAAAGATGTAGTTAAGGGAACGGGGATGTTATTCACCTATGCAGCTGCCAGACCCAGAGTCGAATGCCGAAACATAAAATTGACAAACCACTGATTCATTCTCCATTTAGCGACAAACATTTTACTGCATAACGCGGAGAAATAATTACCTGATCGACTGAAACAAAATTTCCTTTTTTGCCTTTCTCCCCTGATGTAATGACGCTGCTTTCTGACAGCGCTCGCAAATGTTTAGTCACAATAAGAATTCTATGCTGTAATGAAGTCTAAAGAAGTCTTCCTTAGGCGGAAACATGTGCGAAGATTCAGCAGCACGACCGAAGCGACCCATCCCACCGAAAACTGCAAGCTCCCAAGCTCTACAAAGACAATCCAAATCACTCCATGTAACCATACTTTGCCTGCGCACGCCATCTTTAATTGCATTTAGGGGGTCGTGTACAACTGCTGCTGCTGCTGCTGCTGCTGCTGCTGCTGCTGCTGCTGCTGCTGCGAATACTAACAGCGCCAACTGGCGAATCGTTCGACCGACAGGAGGCTGATGGGTGCAAACGTTCGGTCACAAAACACCCGTTGAATACCGACCATGTTTTGGACGCACTGTTGCCTTTTTCGGTCCTCTGAGGGCGGTTCGTCTCCTGCGTTAATCGGGGGCGCAGCAGGAAGGGGAAATGCAGACTTCTGCAGGCAGCTGGATCATGCGATCAACTACGAACTGTCCCGATTGCGAGCGCGGGCAGAATGAACCCCCCCCCCTTCTTTTTCTTCCGCCACCTCCCTCCCCCTGTTCTCCCAAATTTAGGCATGGCCTCTAGTATGTATGACTAACTTCCCGCGCTGTCTACCCCTTATCCTGTCTGGATTCGTATGGCTTGCTTCACACGGCACTCCTCCCTCTGCCCTCCCAGACGTTGGCATCTTTCACAGGGCTGACTACCTTAACATGCTGTCTGTGGCCTGTCTCCCTGGGGCCTTTACTCCATGATAATACAAACGCGCAAAGACAGTGTCTTGTCGTTACCGTATTCCGTCTCCTTCGCACTTTTCGCCCTGTTTGAATTATAAAAGTCGTACTTTTCATGTTGAGAGAATTCAGTGCTAAAATTTGTTTAGTTAAGAGTAATCCCGGGTAACAATCGGGAGATGGCACCCAAAAAAATCCGTTACCTAGAAACAATACCTTTAACAGTGGACTCAAACGCCTTCATGCTATATCAACAGTTGCAGGCCTTCTTTCACGCCCTACTTGGACTTCACCCGACGGCCTAAATGGGCTGGCCGAACGCACATCGCAGGAGGTTACATGGAAGATGATCGCTGTTACCCAACCTTCCCCATCGTTACACACGTACACCTGAATGTACAGCATCCATTCGCATTATGGCAGTTTATTACAAAACAAAATCACTTTTAAATAGGATAAGTCTGCATAACATAGGACAGGAACAGTTCCCAGGCGTCTGTCAAAGACTTGGCATTTAGGCCAAACCAAAGACGATACTGTACTTCGTTTATGTCAGCCCACACAGCTCGACCACTTGCAGGGCCTCCTTCGTGGAGTTTCCTTTTCAGTCTACTCCAGTATGCCTCAATGGCATTGCTGTGTCGTCCGGTGGTAGGGTTCTTGAAGTTCTTTGAGTGGTTAACAGATAAATGTAGATAACCTTCTGAGGGAAGACGATTATACGCCTTCCACTCGTCCGTTACCAATATACTGCTTTGGCGACCCATTTTGTAATAACGGAACGGAGAGCGGGCCAACTTCGATCATTCACCCGTTCAAATAAGGCTTTCCGTCGGCTATTATCGTACATCCCGACCAGCCACCACCCGTAAAACCCCTATTACCACCTGTCTCGTAAGACAGGCTGCTTTGGTTAGGGTGGATTTTTTTGGGTGCCATCTCCCGATCGTTACCTAATCGCGTTTCCTCTTTTGCTACGTTTACCAGTGACGGGATCTTCTGTTTTCTAGGCTTTCTACTATGTTTGCATTGAATCTACCAAAGCATTGCGTCCGATTTCAAGCAGACGACTTTGCTCCCAGATACAAACTTCACACAATGCTTCTTAAGTCTGTCATGCCAGTAATATCGAAACGCTCAAGTTTTTTTTAGACAGAAACTTATAAGAAACTGATGTCCTGCAGAGGGGGCTTGCAGATGTCCGGAAGTAGGTATTCCTTCTGTCAAATTCTGATACAAAGTGCACCAAGTTAGTAATCACTGACTGCAGTCTTAATTTTGACCAAATTTGAGAAATTCGGCGACCTCGGTGGTATTCGAAGCCAAAACGGTAAGGGGAAGGCATCACTGCGCCAAAATCTGATGCAGTTAAACGAGTGCTCAAACAGTATTTCCTGAGTTATCCATCCAGCGTTCAACAGATGACTACCAGGCTGCCGGGGGGCCTCGTAGCTCAGGTGGCCAGATCGTTGTCTGTGATAAAGCCTTCCCCCTTCTATTGGGGGTTCGAATCCCAACGAGGTCGCCGAGTTTTTCCCAGTTGGGCCAAAAGGAATTAGTCGAAATCTGTCGAAAACCTACTGACTACGGTTTAGACTATAGTTCTCAGTATATGACCTGATCTCGGTTTTCTAATTTTCAGATTCATTTTGAGTTGCGATTCTGCCATTTTACATAAAATTAGGACACCTTTTAGGAGTTGGATGTTATGAAGGGTATCAGCCATAAGCTGTAACGTAAATAGTGTTCCTTGACTGCAAGTCGGTCAGTAACTAATACTAGAGGGAAAGTTGAGATATCGTTGTGGTAGAATTCAGAGGTTTATAACTTGGGCCTACTTCGCCTTTGCATACTGCTTCTAGAGAAGTAAAACTTGCACAAAGGTAAGTAAAATTGCTCTCTTTTTCTCCCCGCGATGGTTACCACCTATTGGCTGCAGTTGCAAGTAACAGCACTCCGAGGTTGTACTGTAGATCTGGCGCCGTCAGGTCAGCTCCCTATCTTTTGAATAAAGACCGCTGTTTCTGCCTGTTACCGTAGACGCTATAGCTGATCAAATATCGAACCCGCCGGATACAACGTTAATACCAAAGTGGCATTTACCTATGACGCTCAACATTTTAGCTCTGTTGGAAATGATAGGACTCTCCATTTTATTAACAGAGATCAAACTATGATTTTTTGCTTTTGTGGATCCGGTGTCTGGTCTGTTTTATGAATAGATAATAGTTAAATAGTGTCTGGCATGAGCTGTTCAATAATGAAGTAAACTTGTTTGAGAGGCAGATATTTTTCCCCAGTTAAGATTTGCACGAGTGTTTTGAAAAATTATATTTAAAAATTCCTTGTTCAGTGGCGAAATAGCCTGAGATCTTCGTCTCTGATAAACAGTATGGCATGTTGCCTAAGAAAGTCGTCCAGTTTAAAGATCGGTCAACATCTGCTATTAGTTCTTCCGAATATTTACGGCCTTATTTGACGCTTTTGTGCTCTTAATCGCATTATGCAGCGAAAAGACAGTGTTAAAAGCGGATGTGACTTCAGCCTTTTGCATAAAACAGCAAAAAGGTTCTGCTTTATAAATATAAATATCTTTGATGACGGATGGGCGCTCATCGATCAGGTTACGGAACATGCTCGTTCCGCTGTGCCTTGGGGCTCATACTAGAACCCTCGCAGGCAATCGCACAGCGACTAGTAGTAGACATAGTTGAGTTGGAGCCGACAAAGAGAAGGGAGACTGGAATGGCCATTTCTGGCTTATTAGCCGTCATCAGTCAGTCATACCCGAACATCTTAATGTGGCCTTGCGAAATAGCGTTACTCGGAAAGATCACAAAGAGCATCTCCCTCATGTCTAGGTTGAAATCATGACAGGGTAACGACGTAAGACGTGAAATACAGCGCAAGCGAAATTATCAAAAAACAGCAAGTGGTCTAAGTGAGACTCAACGAGCACCATTTGCTGGTGTTCTCAAAATATCCTCAAAAGTGACTGCGTGATTAAAATTCGTTCAGATCTTAACTGCCAACTCATGTTTAATTTTAATCATTGAATAAACTCTTTTCTGGTTGTATTACGAACATGAAAATAAGCAAGCACTAAGACCAGTGCTCAACTATCAAGCGTTAAAGCCCACGAGTCTTTCTCCAGAAATTACGCAGTCATGGGATTCAAGGCCTTTTTGCATCGTGCAGCCGAAAAAAAACTTAAATACATAGAATCCTCAAACGCGTTGGAGTATGGATTACAATCTATCAAATTAAGAGTTCTATAGTTTGCACAAAACGTCATGTATAAATGGATCATCGGTTTTTGGTAGGGATTTAGTGACCTGTAATTTTTGCTTTGGCGGCTTCAAATATGCCTGATCTCGGAGCTGAGTAGAGCAGGATTACGTGGAATTGTGTCTACATAACGACGGCTGACCTCTCAGGAATGCAACTGATATCAATTAATTATCGCTGCATTTCATCATGGGCAGGTTAACGCTCTGAATATAGTGTTAAATTAAGCGGGTCAACACTCTCAGTTTGGTAAAAAGTATTTACGCATCTTTGCAATCAAACACAACTTAATGCCTAGCCCTTGGACCACTTACGCACGGTAGCAGCTTCCCTGTAATAAAATAGTTTATCGTTGAAGACGTTCTATATTGGTGCAGTGTGTATTCCTATATTGCCTTTCAAATATAGGTTAAAGTCAATTGCCTCTTAAAGTGGGTTATTTGTAGGTGTAGAATATACTGGTACTAAAAGACCGTATCATTCGCGAACTCTCCAAGCAAGACCATCTTTCTCAAGTTTTATTTGAAGATAATTTATTATTAACAAACTAGGTGATTGTTAAAATACTTGACTGTATATCTGAGCCGGACGATAAACTGTGTAAACGGCTTCAAGAAACCTTCAGATACTAGACTACAATTAGTGACCCATTTCACAAAATGTTTATGGAATTTCTGAAATGCGACTACGATTGCGAAGAATTACTTAATTAGAGTTGTAATATTAACTATCGATCGGCTTAATTCTATGATATTTCAGACAGAACAGAGTGTCGGCTCTCGAATGTACTTCTTTAGTCGCATACAACATTTATCCGCTACAAAATTATTACTTATATACTATTATTTTTCTTTTGATTCTTGATGCCCTTAAAAATGCAAACATGCTTTGTGGAAATAAAAAATATTACTTCTGCATTTGTCTGATAGAAATTCACGTCCTTAACTTTGGTACTTAAATAAAGGGTACATCCCATTTTAGAGATTTTTCTGATTATAAAACTTTTCAAGATTACGAAACATCCATTGACACAGCAAGGTACCCGTACGTTTAGTGATGACGCTTATGGAATATACAACACAGTCCAAACCTACTGCAAAAGTTTGGGAGCCTTAAAGAGTATCATTTTAACGGTATAGAGCAATGTATGATTTTCCTTATATGGAATGCATAGGGCTTGTAGACTGAAAATCATAAACGCAAATGCAGTTTTAGATAATGCAAAATAAATCGGAATTTCAAAGACCTAGTAAAACCGAAATATACTCTTTCTTTAAGTATCACACTAGA